AAAAACTATCTCTGCTGCTTACTTTATTTAATCAGTTAATAACTGTACATGTAACTGAAAAAAAAAAACCAGCCCCTTATTATTCACTTTGCTTTGCACAGAGGGTCTGGACAACGTTTGGCCATGACCAATGTAGTGCACCAGCTCAACCATGAAGGAAGCTAACCGGAAATCGCGTTAACAGCCATCCTCTACTACAGGGGTATGAAACTCATTTTCACCGAGGGCCACATGAGCATTATGGTGGCCCTCGAAGGGCCAKTTGTAATGAACTTTGACGTTTCATGTTTAACTTTGATTAAAAAGTGTTTTAACACGTCCTCTTTTAAACACTGATAAGAACTAAGTGTACGACTGACTAGATCTGACACAAATACAGAAATATTACTAAAAGTAAAATTAAGAAATTTTTACTCACTGTTGAGTTTCTAGTGAGTAGCTAATATGCATTATAGCAAATTTAGTTTATGGTTGATGCTGACTTTAAAGCAGCTTATTTTGAGACATTAATTCTGTGCTATCCAACTAAATTGCTCAGTTACTTAAAGCCAGCTCAGGGGCAGGACAATTGTTAGTATCTTTCACCTTTTAAATTTATTTTGTTGCATTTAATCATAATTTTTTTGCCATCATCATAAATTTAAAGTTTACCGTTGATATAAGAAATCATTTTCTTGTTAAGTAATACACATACATACATACATACATACTGGAGAGAGAGAGAGAATTTTTTTTTGATGGGGGGGTGTACCCCCAATGGCGGGCCACATCTGCATGGGCCAGATGTGGCCCGCGGACCTTGCATTTGACACATGGGCTCTACTAGGAAGAGAGAAGTACAGAGCCGAACGAGACCTGTAAATGAGTGCTGCAGGCTTTGTGAGAGAAATTTAATTTAATTTGGAAGTTTTGTCAACACGGACTGAAAGGCTTCATTCACTWCCTCCACTGCCTTTGCTGAACTACAGGCAGACTAAAACAGCGCAGAAAATCAATGTCAATGTTCACAACTCCTCCTCCTGTTCACTGATTGGCCTGGTTGAAATTCTACCAGAGAAATGCATGTCAATGGGAAAAAGCTCAGACAGTAGAGAAGGGAAATTAGAATAAAAAAATGGAAGGCAATGGTCAGGCTAGGTAAAATGATTAAAAAAATAATAATAAGTTTGTGCCGCCCATTAAAGAGGGGTTTTTATAACTTTTATTTCGATGAGATGTGGTTTTCATAAATAAGAAAGCTAATTTTATGCATTGTTTGCTTTTGTTTTAAACCTAAAAAGGAGAAAATCTAGTTTTGATATATTTTGTGGTTCAGCACTTACAGTAACTGTATCTATAAAGTAGGACTGCAAGCATCTTTGCGAGATTATTCATGCTTTTGGGCAACTGTTCCCACCACTCACATCCTCACAATAAGCGAACAGCAGCATAAATGCACACATTGTGCCTTTTACGTGATCTTGACACAACAGCAAGTGCTCCTAATTCCCCACAGAGGGCAGCTGAATGACAGCTATAGAAAGACAAAACTTAATAAGCACATTTGAACCCTGCCAATGGAATGTACTGTGTAAGATAACAGTTGCTGATATGTTTGATTCTAATGCTCATGTGAGACTGACAGGTCTGTATGCAGCACGGGGAAGACTGCGTCTGAAACTGTCTGCCTGAAAACCAGGACAAAAAATGAAATTGCCTCTTTCCCTGCAGTGATGGTAGAGATATAGGATGTGCTCACTTCCAATCTGGCATGTAATAAACAAATCTTATCATATTCGCAATACAGCATCCTTGTAATGTACTGATTACCATACAWACTCCATGGATATAAAAAGTGGGAGCTGTGGAAATGGTGCAAAACTAGATGTTCTAACATTATGATGATAGGTTCCTGAGTYGCAAACTACAGTATTTGACTATTTTGCATGCATATTTATCTCGCATTTTTGTGGAAAAATAAACAAACCATTCTAATTTTCTCAATAATTTGCTCGATTTCCTAACTGATTAAAGTCACCTGCACCAGCCATTTATCACTGGGGTCAACAGTTTCACACTCCAGCTCAATGGATGGCGGTTTTACTCTCATCGATTTTTTGGTGGTGGTGGGGGCGGGGGGGTTGTAGGAAATGATTATTCACTAGGAATTTAGCAGAAATTTTTTTTTGTCCTTGTGCTTATCGAGCGATAATCGAAATGTGGAGAGCAGCAAGTCTTCTAAAACAGTATATCCACAAAGCAAGCATTTGTGTGTGTGTGTCTTTATTATTATTGTTATTGTTATTGTTATTATTATTGTTATTATTATTGTTATTATTATTGTTATTATTATTGTTGTTGTTGTTGTTGTTATTATTATTATTATTTGGACTGAACATTGCTGAAAGACCAAATATGTGCAATAATTATTTTTGTCGGATTGAAACCAAATTTCTCTGGAGCCATTAGAGGAAATTTCATTAAACTCTAAACTAAGCATTAGATGTGCATCTACAATTCAATAATTTTTGAAGCCACTCAACTCAATTAAGATGGTCGCAACTGCCAGCTGACTTTATGAAACAGAGAACAACTAATTCATTATTAAGCTCCAGTTTGTAGCCAAGTCATACACAATACATGCTGTACTTCAGGACCTTTTATTTTCCTAGACYTGACAAGCATGGCTTAAACTCCAACTCTCAGTCTAACATGAAGGACAGTGGGTGATAAGCATTACTTTAAGAAATGCTAGGTCTTTAATCTTTTTGTGTTCAGCCACTTTGGAATGGACTTTGTTGTGCAGTTGCTGGTGCACTCAGTCCAGAACTGCACGTGGTCCAGCATGTCTTGACAATGTCAAGTGCATACAACAAAATTTGCATCACACTGACCTAGTGGCCAAGCAGACACGAAAACAAAAATTACATCACATAAGTGACACAAACAAGGTTGTCAAAATTACTGGACTTCATTGTACAAAAATACTAATATACTGTACCACAAACTGTTTTGGAACCTAATGGRACTGCTTCCAAATTAGCTTTCATTTTCTCTTTTTAAATTATCCCTATCAACAAGTGGTCTCATTAGTAGTCTTCCTTCAGTCTGTGAGCAGAGCAGCCCCCAATCCCTTAAAAAAAAAAAAAAAAAACAACAACAATGAAAATTCTTTCCATTCAGAAACATTGTAGCAGTCAAAGTTGTTCCACCAATTAGAGGTCTCAAAATAGGTTTCTCGTTGCCATATGTCAGTGTTGAATTTGTTTTAGTATTATGTAGTCAATTGTAATTTTATCATTTATTATTTTAAGYATTTCACAATTCAAAAGGGTAACTGTCCGGCATTTTCTATAAACAGGTTGTTAAATATACACACTCTCAAGTCCTGAAGGTAATTCAAAAAAACTTTAATTAAAAAAAAACTTTAGCCTGGTACTATATGCACTCACTAACCCAATTGTTTAATGTTTTTATTTAGCATAACMAACCACTTTCTGAGTAAATACAGGATGTGTTTATACAGTATTTAACTTATGTATTTAACTTTGAGATTTGAAAAAAAAAATTTTTAAACATACTTTCATTGTTCTTTGACATTAAAAAATACAACAAAGACAAACAGAAATGCCTAATCATATGCTTTTGAATGTCTCAAAACTCATAGTCAAAAGCCAAAAGGGAAAAAAACTGTCAATTAGTTTAGACTAACAAACAGAGCATAAGGTGCAACCTAATGCAAGTTTGCTCACTGTGGCAACCCCTGAAAAATGGAGCAAATGAAGGAGGGGTAAAAAAAAAAACCACAAGTTAAAAAAGCACATGTACCCAGTGGATTGTATTCTCAGATTATCTAGCAGTGTTTTTTACAGCACATTCTAAGGGTAATTATATTTAGTTTGCATACAAACATAAGTCTTTGTCAACAATGATTTCACCTGCAAGACTAAGCCTGCTCTGATGTCAAGTTAAAAAGTCAGATTTAACCTTCTCCAAGACAACTATAACACTTGTTTGACTGCTTTTTGCAAAATGAAAATTAAACCAAAACAAATGTCTAAATCTGAATTTTTAAAAACTGTAAAGAAGAAAGTGTTTATGTATTTTTACCTCATATGGAACATTCACTTCTATAAATGTTTTTTTTAAGTTATATTGCTGTTTTTTTCTGTCATTTATACAAATTCTATAAATCCTATGATTTAAAATTCATAATTTCAGAGAAAAGCTGCTTTAAATTTGGGTCTTCTTAATTTAGACGTATTTAAAGGTATTTGATTATGTGTTTTGTCTGTTTTGTTTTAGGGAACATCTTTGTGGTCAGCCTGGCAGTAGCAGACCTTGTGGTGGCCATCTACCCATACCCTTTGGTCCTCACCTCCATTTTCCACAATGGCTGGAACCTGGGTTACGTCCATTGCCAGATCAGCGGCTTCCTCATGGGTGTCAGCGTCATCGGCTCCATCTTCAACATCACCGGCATCGCCATAAACAGATACTGCTACATTTGTCACAGCCTCAAATATGACAAATTGTACAGCGACAAAAACTCTGTCTGCTATGTTTTGTTAATCTGGGCGCTGACCGTAGTGGCCATCGTGCCCAACCTTTTTGTGGGTTCCCTTCAGTACGACCCACGGGTTTACTCCTGCACTTTTGAGCAGTCCGCCAGTTCAGCGTACACCATCGCTGTGGTGTTTTTTCACTTCATTTTACCCATCATGATTGTCACCTACTGTTACCTGCGGATATGGATTTTGGTCATTCAGGTRAGGAGGAGGGTCAAGCCAGACAATCGGCCCAAGCTGACGCCACACGACGTCCGGAACTTTGTCACAATGTTTGTGGTGTTTGTGCTCTTTGCCGTTTGCTGGGCGCCGCTCAACTTCATCGGCCTGGCTGTAGCAATCAAACCAGAGGTGGTGGTTCCCCTCATCCCCGAGTGGTTATTCGTGGCCAGCTACTTCATGGCCTACTTCAACAGCTGCCTTAATGCTATTGTGTATGGTGTGCTGAACCAGAACTTCCGGCGGGAGTACAAGCGGATCGTGGTGTCCGTGTGTACAGCTCGTATCTTCTTCCAGGACAGCTCCAATGATGCAGGGGAGAGACTCAAAAGTAAACCGTCACCACTCATGACCAACAATAACCAGGTCAAGGTAGACTCTGTCTGAGGCTGAACTCAGAGACATGAACTCATATGCAGTTTTTGAGAGTTATTGTTTCTTTTTAAATACTTATTACAAAAAATACCAAATACAACTATAAACAGCTTGTATCCAATGAGCTGTAGACTGTCATACTGTATGGTGCTATCAGACCTCTGAACAATCACAAAACAAAACCAGAAGTTTATAATCCTCATATTTATCAAGCACTTTGGTTGACTCAGCAGTACATGTAGTAAAGTGAATATAAAATGTCTTTTGTTTTAATATTTACAGTGATGATATATATAAATGTATCATGCATTGCGTAAGTATATATTTTGTATGGTATGCCATATCTATATTTATAAGGACAGTACAGTGCAAAAGTTTTTGCTTTTTATATTTTATTTCCAAGGAGCCAAACTTTCTTGTAATAATTTAAAATTGTCTTTAGCAGGCGGCACAGTTGGTAGAGCTGATGCCTCTCAGCAAGGTCGCTGGGTCGAATCCCGGCCCGGGGACCTTTCTGGGCAGAGTTTGCATATTCTCTCTGTGCATCCAGGTACTCCGGCTTCCTCCCACAGACCAAATACACATCAGGTGAATTGGTAACTCTAAATTGTCCCTAGGTGTGAGTGAGAGAATGAATAGTTGTTTAAGTGGCCCTGTKATGGACTTGCAACCTGACCATTGTGTACCCTGTCCCTCACACAGTGACTGCTGGATATGGGTACTTATGACCCTGAAAGGAATAAGCAGGTATAGATGATGGATGGATCATTCTTGAACTAGTGAAAATCATAACATACAAATGAGAAAAATACATTTTTAAATTGAACTTTAAGACAAATTACCAGCAWCTCTATACAATCAAATCAGTTCCCTTTTAAGAGTCTTTGAAAAATACCAAACATTGCACAGTTTGATCTGATGCTATTTTACCACCAACAAGGTGATTCACAAAGAGTTAAAAGAAAAAATGGAGTAGAGTTAATCAGTGGTTCTCTGATTTTGGGGTTGGGAACACTGTAGGTCATAAAACAAAGTGAGGGCTCCTTGATCTCCAAAAATTTATTTTACTGTGAAGAAATTAYTATTGACATTTTAATATCTGTTGTTACTATAAAGAATAAACACAACATTCCCAAATTAATACAGTTATCCTTGTTATTGTTTGTTTTATGGCCATGTTTAATTAGTTTRTTAGCAGAGGTAATCTATTTAAACCAATATGATTTGGAGCCATGAGACTGATGATCAGCTGAAGGTGGGTCTCTCAGGTTCTGTGCTTTTGCTGGAAGACGTGGCTCTTAAATTCTGTTTATCTGTTGTTTTAGGTCTCCCATTATTTCCTTTAGTCCTCCACTTGTTCATTTTTCTCTTTTTTTTAAACACAAACAATCAAACAAACTGCTGTCATCAGGAACAAGGAATGGACTGAAAGTATAGCCAAAGCCCACAACGACAAACTTTAACAGACCTACAGACCAAGACAACTTTYAAAGATTACAGAAAATCTGGCTACTTGGAAATAATGTAGACAAAAAAAAGTGGTTTAAAACTTTTCCACAGTACTGTACATATCCACTCTGATATATTGAAATAACATGTTTGAGGTACGCAAGTTTCTACCAAACTTTATTTAAAAAAGTAGAACAATGATGTTACCAGTTTTATTAACCTCATTTGTGACACTGTTGAGTCCAAGCAATGCTGCTGTCTTCTACTTTACAGTACTCCAGTTCTACATTAAGTGGGAAACAAAATTAGTAAGTGGGATCTTTCTCTCCTCCTTTTAAGCTCATCAAAGTGTATGCATGGATACCATAAACTGTTTATATGCAAAATAAAATCTTATATTGATGAGGAGTGTCACTTCAGCTCTTGTCTTTGGTCTTCTCTTTATTACAGGTTAACTGCAACAGTAATGCATTTTTAAAAATTCAGTTCTGATTTGACTTTAAAATGGTGTTGGGTATCTTAACCTAAAAATAATTTCTCAGGGGCAGGACAAACTTTTATTATCACCTCCACCAAGGGAGGAGGTAATGTTTTCAGTTGTCTGTCTGTCTGTCTCTGTCTGTGGACAAAATTACTCAAAACCTTGTGGACAGATTGCCATGAAATTTTTACCACATATGAGTATTGGTCAAAGGAACACACCTTTGAATTTTGGTCATGTTCCGGATCATTTTGTGTATACAGGATTTTTTCTTTTAGTTCAAGCGAATCAGCTAGGCTATGAAAAGTGTCATTACATCAGACACATGTCTGTAGGAAACGGGAAGTGAAGTCGCAAACTCGCTGGGACTACACATCCCAGGAAGTCTACTAATGGGAAAGTTGTGATTATTCTGTTATCAACTAGTTTTGGCGATGTTACATGCTGCCTGGAGACGTAGAAAAAAATGTGATTCTCTTCACGTTACGGGAATAACTGACAAGACACCGACAGCGGGAGAAGGCTACAGCTACAGCCGAGCCGAAGCTGGTACCGGACAGCAGGAACAGCTGATCAACCACGTGAGGTACCCCCTCCACATAAGACCTTTATTGTGTGATTGGTCAGATGTGTTTGTGCTGAAAGCGCTCAGACACTGTATTTTGCTTAAACAATTTGCTTCAAAACAAACAAAAAAAAAAAGGTGAGTAGCTTCATGAGTCAACTGTACCAGAAAGCAACAGTTTAGAAAGATATTCAAACCATTAAAAACTCGTAAACAGGGATAAAACAGACATTTTACATGGTGGGATCTGACTGATAAAAATTTAGGAGCTTAATCCGAGACCAGTTTGTGGATGAATAACGTCGGGTGACGAGTCTCTGACCTTTTTTTTCACATTGGACTTCACTGRGAATAAATCCCGTGCATACTGCCTGCTTAAATGTTCACTATGTCAAAACTTATTCTGCAAATCTTACAGGATGGGGGAATTGGCCTTGGTAGAGGTTTGCACTCTCCAAGTGCTTCTAGCTTTGTTGTATTTAATCATAAATTTAAAGTTTACCATTATAAAAAACAAATTTCAACTTAAGTAAAAAAAAGTTTTTCTTTTTTTATGTTTTTTATTTATTTATTTATTTATTGGTTTGCCAGATGGGAGTCACCTTGAGTTTGACACCTGTAGTATAAGTGATGTTCTTTGGCTTTTTCTCCTTTCTGATTTGTCTGAACTACACCCCAAAATGGTCATGATTAGCTCTAAAATTTAGCAACGCACAAAAGATTATCGTGGAAGGTGTCAGTTTTCCACCTACACCAGAATGATCGGGGTCGGTTGATAKAAAGTTTCTGTATAGGCACCAGTGTCCTTCACACCATCAAGGACTCTACAGGCTGCTGTGTAGCAGGGCTTGGATGTGTGTCACAGTCAGTGCGTAGGCAACCCGGTCAGAGCGCAGAGAAAGGCGTCAGGCAGCACAGAGGAGAATGGCTCAGCGGTGCATTTTGAAATCCACTCATCTTACATAACGGACACTGACCATCATCCTCTAAGTAAGAGCTGAAAGAGCTCCCAGTGGACTACCCCTCCCCCCTTCTCTATTCATTTAATCCGAAGAGCTGTGTGTGTGCGCTTCGAAAAACTAAAGGGGTGGATGATGAGCAAATGTAAAAATCCCTGGGATTTACTCTGCCCCACACAGTGTTATACAGTAATCTGCTGGGCCCAAATATATATTACATAATTTTTTATTTTAGCTCAGAATGTGCAATAGAGAAAAGACGTCAATGGAACTGACATTTTAATGTTCTAAATATAATTTAAACTATACTCACTTCCTGTTCCATTTCTGGAAAGATACCCGCGCGGACCCGGTCTGCGTCGGAGAGTCCTCCTCCTCCTTCTTCTTCTCACTCTGAAACCAGGTACTCTACAGGCCTGGATGGGGTTCGATTGGGCCAGGTTTGTCTGCGTAGGTAACGGGTTGCTCGGGTGGGTCGACTCGGACGGGCCAGGTAACGCGCCGGGGAATGGATCAAGCTGAAAATCCTCCGTGCCGAAAGCTGCTACTGTATTTTCATAAAATTTAATAATTAAAAACCTTAATAAATAAAACAATATACAGATAGTTAATGCAGAGAGGGATGAAATCTTACACAACGCACCTGGATCTTCAGTCCTCGATAGATTCTGAACAGGGCTCGGATGTACAGGTTCGGTCTGCTGGTTCTGACGGGTCGGATGGGCAGGATCCGCCTGTAGGGGTAGACTCGTACCTGGGTCTACCAGAAACCCCTGCCTGTGGAAAGTCACTGTGTTTTATAAAATAAATAAATAAATTAATTAATTAATAAAAAATCTTAATAAATAAACACCATACAAATAAAATTATCAATGTAGAGAGGGTGCAAATCTTACGTAATTCATCAGGTAGATTTAAATCATCCCAACCTAGGTAAGACGAAGAAGAAAAAATACCTTTTTAGAACAAAACAGCTTTTAAAAAATTTGTTTTAAATAAATAAAGATCATTCTCACCATTTTCTGTAGGTTTATCGAGACCAACCAAAGGCATTCTTCATCAAAGCATGGTTTTTGAAGTGAGCGCCTTTTTTTGCAGAAGTCATGTGAAAGTCAAATTAACTTTTTTTTCTGACTGAATGTAGGTGGGTTAAGCAGAGAGAGAGGGGGGTGGGGTGAGGATGAGATTGGGGAGGAATCAGGTGCTTAAAACAGGAGCTGATTGGTTGATGGACATGTTTGATGAAAAGTTTCAGACTTGACAGGTTTCAGGGAGGGCTGGGTGACCAAGGAGGTGGGCCGAGGGGCGGGATCAGTGGCTTAAAACAGGAGCTGATTGGATGATGGACCAATTTGATGAGAAGTTTCATACTTTGACAAGTTTAAGGGTTGGGAGAAGACTGTCAGTAAGTCTAAGGTCACTTGAAACTTTTGGAAAGGATGCGGTTAGGCTAACATCTGTTGAAAAGAGGAAGTATGCGGTGAAGGGTAGGATTACGGTTAAGGAAAAGAGGAAGTGAGGAGGGGGAGAGGAAGAGGGGCTAGACCGGAAGTCCCGACCTAAAAGGGGCGGAGCACCTGTCACTTTTTGAATGACGTCAGTTGATGATAACCTGGGT